GCGAAAACAATGAAATCCAACATCGGAGTTTAGTCGTTTTGTCGGACAGTACGACTCATGTTACTGCAGCTGTTTATTTGATACAGAAGATTTTAATACAGCATGTGAAAGACAACTGNATTGTGATTTTTCGGAAAATTACACTTTTATGGCTCAAAATGCTGCTCAATCCTTCCACTACAATAATGACCAGTGTACAGTTCGCCCCGTTGTTTACTACTATCGCGAAAACAATGAAATCCAACATCGGAGTTTAGTCGTTTTGTCGGACAGTACGACTCATGTTACTGCAGCTGTTTATTTGATACAGAAGATTTTAATACAGCATGTGAAAGACAACTGTGAAAGCGTGGAGGAAATTATCTATGTCACCGATGGAGCTGCACAACATTACAAGAATCGTTTTCAGGTCACGAATATCTTGCATCATAAGACTGATTGTGGCATACATGCGGAAGCCCATTTTCATGCAACCGCGCCCGGTAAAGGAGCTTGTGACGGAGTAGGAGCTGTCTTTAAGAGAGAAGCGAGACGTAAGAGCTTGCAAATCGTTCATGGTGAACCAATCCTCATGCCAGATGCTTTGTTTCGATGGTCAAAAGAGAATTTTGAAGGAATTGATGTTTTTTTTTCACCAAGGCAGAACACGAGAATATCAAAACTGAGTTGAGAGAGAGATTTGATAGTGCCAAAGCTAATCCAGCCATTCAAAAAAACCATTGTTTTATTGCGATTCCGGCAGAGCAATTGTTAATTAAACGATATTCGGCTTCGGCTAACGAGGAGGTTTTCCCAAAGCAAAAACAAACAACTACAAAACGAAAAACCCGCAGAAGGCAGTAATCGTGATGTAAATAATTCATCAGTGCATGTTGGAACTTGTCGTCGAAGAGAGTGGAGAATTTCTCCGTATTGTAAAAATGTAAAAATGTGAAAATATAAAATGTTGTCGTTATAGAAGAATAAAAATTGTTTTTTTCCCATACTTGTTCGTTAGTGGAAAGCACAGTGTGTTGTTGAGAAAAGATTTATAGTCGTATCAATAGTCTATTCTATCGAGCAGAACAGGAAATGTCTATTGACAAACCCCTTTTTCAGTAACAATAATGCAACTCTCCTAAACGATAGACAAACGTAAAAATTTCGAAGAAAATTTTTTTTCGGAGCATTCTTTCTCTCTTACATGATGACGTACTCTTTTGCCATCATATATGAACAAAGAATAATAGTTGACAGAGTGATTTATTTGAAAAAAACCGATGGATCTCCCCTAAAAACTGAAAAACCCAAAAATTTCGAAAAAAAATTTTTTTCCGGTGCATTGCTTCGCTCTTCCATTATGGCGTATTTTTTTCATATCATATAAGGACATCCTCTATCATAAAAAAAATATTTCGATCGAATATCGAGCGGCCCTAGAGTGAAAAAAAAAAACGAAAACGCGAAAAATTCTCGAAAAACCGGTCTAGAAGCTTCTTGACGGCTCTGAAGTATTTCCTATCTTGAAGTACGAGAAAAAATGAAAATTTTCTTTTTTTATTTATTAAAATCGGATGCTCCATTCGAAAGTAATGATTTTTTGAAAATTTCAAGTTTCGTAAGGATTATCTCAGAAACAAAAGTGGCAGGGCAATGAAATTTTGCATGATCACTGGCTATACATGGTAGTTCAAAATGCACCTACTCAATGATTTTTCCCAGACACAAAAAAATCCGGTGTAGCTGAGTTGACATGGAATGTCCCATATATGAAAATCGTTCGTTCCCATGATACTCAACCAAGAAAAATGAGTAAAGAGAGACCCACAGATGAATATGAAATTGTATTAAGATAGTTCTGCAGTTCTAAATGGGAATAGAAGGAGACGTACAAGAAATTTCATTATAGAAATATACCCATGAAGTCCCGTTAAAATTAACAGTCTAGGTTTTTGAAAAAATTATTGAAATAGGTTATTTGTACAACGTCAAATGGCACTCACTTTTTGTTGAATATGGCGCCATACGCCAGTCTTCTTATTACCAACAGTGTGGCTGAGTGTGTCGCCACGCCGCCGTTGCGCCTCTATGAGATATACTCGTACTATGCATCACTTGTGCCTCGACCGTTGTCGCATTACGTTGCTAAATAAAGCTTAATTACTTTTACGATAATAAAACGGTGTTTAATCGTTATTTCAATCCTAAATAACCCTTCAGGTTATGCGCCCAGCACGCTTCCACTGTGCGTGATTAAAATTTATCACAAATTAAAGGATTGAAAGCGATAAATCGGAAATTCCAAAAAGGACGCTATCGGGCGGTCGGGCACGTGTCCGGGTGGATCACACGTGATACAAAGCAATATCCAGAAAGAGGAAAAAACGAGGTGAGCTGGGTGAGTGACGACTGACGGGAAGAAAAATGAAAAGTACTTAGAGAAAATGTAAGAACTGAAAAAATGCATTAATTAAGTGAAGTGAATTGGTGAGAATGAAAAATAGAAGGGATCAAAATGGCAGCCGGAAATTAATTGTCCACGACGCCGACCTGAAATCGAGATTTTAGACTGAAAAGAATTAATAAAGAAATCCCATTAAATTCACAAAAAAATCATTGAAAAACAAGAAATATCTTTTGTCATAAATAAAATCATATTTAGAGAAAAACAAAAGAAGAAAGCCAAGTGACGCCGTGACAATAGTTTCTCGGCAGTAAAAGCGAGCACGGGTTTCAACAGGCTTCAACAAGTAGACGCAACGGGTGGGTTACGCGCGCAACCGGGGCGCGTCTGAGAGAGAGGGACGACTGCAGTCCCACACACATTGCTCGAGCAAGGCGAGAACAATAAGACAGAAAGAAAAACGAAAATTAGTGTGAATATATAAATTCGTGAGAAAAACAACGATTCTCTCTTTCTCGGCCGCATTCCGCGTGTGTGCGGGGTCCACCAGCGTCATGTAAAGCAATAAAATAAAATCAATAGACACTAGTGCAAAATTGAAATTTACAAATTGAGGATGCATCCAAATCAAAATATTTAATTGGTAAGAATATTGAATTTAAAAATACTTAATAGGCGAGAATAACAAATTAAATATTTGATGGATCGAACTAATGAAATTGAATTCTAAAATTATTATCTTCAGACGAAGATATTTATAAATAAATAATTACAGCTGATAAAGAACTTCTGTATGAAGTGTGGAGACTCATAATTAGACAACATCTAATCGAAGGAAACCATGAGGGAGAAGTGATCTCCCTGGCAATAATAGACGATAAAGTTTATGTTCTTCCAGGCGAAGGAACAGGATATGTAACAGGTGAGACATCAGGCATATGTGTAAATAGGCGAACATACTATATACATTAGAAACGCGCAATATTAAGACGTCAAATTACTTGAGAAATATTTAAATCAATTTTCACAATCATAAAAGACTCGAGTGTATTTGGAGGTCTTATGTTTAGATTTTCTGAAGAGCACATTCATTCTCAATTCGGTTTGTTTATGTTTAGCAAGTCGAGTTTGGGATTTCGGACCTGAATATAAAAATTGTAACCAGATACAATAATCCTAAATTTTCTTTCGGTCTCGTTAAAATTAGATAAGAGAGATTTCTCAGAGGATCAATGGAGATGTCTGACTGTGTTAGAATCTGCATTGTTGGCTGAAGAAAAGCCAATGTATCTACCAGGTTACGGTCCGAAGAGTCAAAAGTCAACAACAGCTGTAATCGAGAATGGGTCAAGAAACATGAACAAAGATTTGGGAAATATACAGGCGAGGGCCACAGGCGAGTCCAGGTCAAGCGAATTGACTAGAGGCGAGACGAGTGGCGGTGAGTTAAGTGCAGGCGAGAAAACCACAGGTAATATTAATATTGACAAAACTCACCAAATCAAACTGAAACCCAAGATTACAGCAGATAATAAAGTAAATATTAAATTAAAATTGGTAAATTCTAATCTAGACAATGAATCAGTTGAGCCTAATGGCAACAAGACTGTCAAAACAGTCTCTGTAGACACACAGTTGGCTGAGTTGAAGAGCATGGTGGAAAAGCTATGTAGCTCAAATATAACTTCAAAAAAAGCACTGTATGAAGGTCTAACAGAGAATAGAAACCAAGTGAGACTGAATGCTGAGGCGAGAGCACAAGATAAAAAGTAAGTATTGGAGCTGTTGAGTGCCCTAGACAAGAAGCACAACGACAAAATTGGAGAAGTTGTGAGAACCTTTGATAATTATCGCAATACTGTCGAATCATCAATCAAGGTAACAAAGAACAAAGAGAAAAAAATAGATGGAGGAGTGATGTCAAATGAGCATATAAATCTAGAAAGTCAAATTAATTCAATAGTCAATAAACAGATCAATGAAATTAATCAGACAAAGTCAAGTCCAGTAAACAACCTAAATCCTTTGAGTCAATTAGCTGGCGAGGTAACCAATAAGTTACAAATTGAATTGCTTAACAAGGGAATGAGTTTCAAAAGAAATTACAAAATGGGCAGCAAAATAAAATATGAACATTTCTATGATTATTTCTCGTCAGAAATTAAAACAAATAAACTTTTACACATCATTGACGATAGCATTCTGGTTACTGTGGACGAGGAAACTCTTGCAGAACAGAAGCGCAAAGATAGAGAAATTCTGATCAATCATTTGGACAGAAGTTATCACTCTAAAATTGTCAAATTACAAGATCCAAAAGAAATATTGAAGAAACTTAAAGAATTGAAAATGGCTGAGTTTAATGTAACTTCACACTCGGTGAGACAAGACCTTTATAATATGAGATATAATCCTGCTAAAATGACAGCTGGCGAGTTTAACGATATGTTTGATGAAAAAATGGCAACTTATGAAAATGCTCCCGACACCATTCCTCTGAGTGAAAACGAAAAGAAAGATGCATTCTACAATGCAGCAATAAAAGCTTTTCCCAACATTAAAATCATTGAAAAAGTAACAAGGAAAGCTATAGGTGTGGGCTTGACTTTTGGCGAGTTGGAAATTGCGATATTAGAAGAAGAAGCTACTATGAAAAATGAGCTCTCAGATTCTGATATTAAAACTGCTAATTTTGCACAGCACAAGGGGCCAAGGTGTTTTGCTTGTCAGGCATATGGACACAAGAGACCAGACTGTCCCAATAAAGAGAAAGGATACTTGTGCTACAAGTGCACCCAGTTTGGGAATCACAAGGGGAGAGATTGCCCAAACAGAACTCACAATGACCATGAACCAAGTGGTTCAGGATACTCGAAGCAGACTCCAAGGTACAATTCCAATTCAAAAGTTAATTATAGAAACAATTATCGAGATCAATATAGAAGTATCGATAAAGGAACAAAAAGACCAATGAGAGGTGAAACATATGGTCCAAGTAAAAGAGGAAGATTCAATAAGAGTCGGTTCTCTTATAAAAGAGGCGAGAACAAACACGGGTTTAAGTCATCTCACCAATCAAACAAGAAATCCAAATCCGACGAACCCAAAGAGAAAAATAACTCGACTCAAGGAAAAGGAAAAAGAAAATAATGATCAATCAAGTGCTGAAATATTTTATGCAGATAGTCAACAAACAAATGGAAATAAGTTTCTGACAGACTTTCTGGCAGACTCAGGCGCGACCGAGCATTTAACAAATTCTAGAATTATATTTAAAACATTCAATGAATTAGATTGTGGAGTAATTAGTTGTGCTAATAAAAATGAGTCAGCGGGCTTAAGAACGGAGGGAGCAGGAAAAATAGAAATTGAACTGGCGAGTGGTGAATTATTAGAAATTGACAAAGTTATTTTTGCAGAAGCTTTTAAGGCAAATCTACCATCATTAAGAAAATTTGCCGAAATGGGATTAGCAATCTACTTAGATGACAAGAAAATTGATATATTTGATCCATTGTCGAATAAACTTTTCATCTCGGGAATTTATAGAAAACCTTACTGGATAATCGATTTTGAAATAGTAAAGTCAAACTCTATCAGTGAGAATTCTTTCAAGCAAATAAACAGGCGAGTAGTAGCAAATGTTGCTGATGTCACTGGGGGGTGAGAATGAGGTGAAAAGATATCTTACCAGAAGTGTCACAGCAAATTTACAGAATGAAACAAGTGAGAAAATAGACGAAATTGATAAGAGTAATGAGGAAGGAAATAAAATTGAAGAAAAGGCAAAGGAAGAAAAGCATAATGAAAAAGGGAGTGAAAACTTAATAAAAGAGAAAATAATTACTAAAGAAAATATTCCCTATGAACATCAAATTTTGATTACACCATTTGGGACAGGAAATTGCAAGATGTTGATGAATTACCATGGGATGATTCGTTAAAAGATTTTCCAAAACTTTCAATTGATAAAGATAGCTATTTGAAGGATCAGAATGTCATGTTGTGGTATTGTAGATTTGGACATGCCTCAACGAGTTACCTCAAGGCATTACAAAAAAAATTCCCAGATAATAAAGAATTAAATGCAGTAAAATTTGATGATGAATTCATTAGAGATTGTGAGGTGTGCTTAACGTCTAAATTCAATAAATTATCATTCCCATCGGTGCGCAGGCGAGCAACAGCACCATTGCAAATAGTTCACTCAGATGTGATGGGGCCTATTACTCCAATTTCTCATCCTAAGGGATACAGATTTATTGCTGTGTTCACCGATGACTTCTCAAGATTCGCTATGGCTTATCCACTAAAGGCGAAAAGTGAAACAGGACGTTGTCTTGAGATGTTCATCAGAAGTGCGCGTAATTTACTGAGTTATGACGCGAAAGTGTGTTATCTTAGATCAGATCAGGGAACAGAGTATACAGACGGGGATACAGTTGAAGTTCTTAAGGGTCTAGCGGCGGAATTACAGTTAGCTTCCCCTGATACACCTGAACACAATGGTGTCGCTGAGAGATTTAATCAAACTATCTAGAAAAAAGTGAGATGTTATATGTTTGACTCGAGACTGCCAAAGGGCATATGGGATCTGGGCTTAACTGCTGCAGTTTATGCTTACAATAGGACTCCACATAAATCAAACAATATGATAACTCCTTTAGAAAGATTCGCGCCTGATCGCAGCTTTGATATTGATCAAATCAAAAGATTCGGTGGTTTAAGTTATGTAAAAATTGCTAGAAATGCTGGCCCAAAGTTTGGACCACGAGGTGTAGGTATGGTCTTGGTTGGATATACTCCAACAGGGTATCAACTCTTAAAGCCAGAGCTAGGAAAATATCATGAAAGCAGACATGTTAAATTCAATGAAAAATTAGTGTATGGGGATAAATACAAGGGAAACGGTATCAAAGATTTCCCAGACTATGGAAAAATGGAGAATAAAGATGAATGGTTTGTTGAGTTCGAAAAGAATCGAGGTGAGACCGAGGATTCTTCAAAACCGGAGGGAGTGATAAAACGCAAAGGAGGTAGCCCAAGGAAAGAAATTTCAGAACAAAACATTACCAAGAAAGTGAAGACAGTTGATATAAAAGATAAAATAATAAATGATAATAGCTTTTCAGAGTTGGAAATTGATGAGAGCGTGAAAGGAAATGTTTTCTTCACTAGTGTTATCAGTAATGTAGGCGAGATAGATTTAGCACAAAAGGAAGATGAAGTGTATCATGCACTTTTATTAAGCATAAATGAAGATCCCTCAAATTAGCCAGAAGCTATAAATAGTAAAAATAAAGATTATTGGTTAAATGCGGTTGATGAAGCATTAAACTCGTTAAAAAGAAATCAAGTATGGAAAATTGTCAGAAGACCTCTAAGTATGATGAATGGAAAAAGATTAAATGTAATTGATTCAAAATAGGTTTTTAAGTGTAAAAATGAGGCAAATGGAAAAATAAGATTCAAAGCGAGACTAGTAATCAGAGGTTTCAAGGATAAGAACATTTATGAATTAAGGGAAACTTATGCTCCAGTAGCTCGTTTACCTTTAGTGAGAATAGTTATATCAATTATAAACAAATATAATCTAGAGGTGTGTCAGCTAGATGTTAAAACTGCTTTCCTCAATGGTGTAATAGATGAGGAAATTTACATGGAAATTCCAGAAGGAACTAATCATACTGACAAAGATAGGCAAGAAAATGTGTGCAAATTGGAGAAAGCACTTTATGGTCTTCGTATCAGTCCCAAATGGTGGAATGTAAAATTCACATGAAGTAGCTTTGAGTATGGGTCGGCAGAACTCGGATTTAGAACCTTGTTTATTCACTTGGCGAGATGAAGACAAGTTCTTGCTTCTGCTACTTTATGTAGATGATATGTTATTGGCGAGTAATGATAACGATAAATTGGCTGAAGTAAAGAGTAATTTATGTAGCGAATTTGAAATGACAGTCCTGGGAGAACCCAAGGAATTCTTGAGCATGACTATTAGGCGGGACAGAGAAAATCAGATTATCAAATTAAATCAGGAAAATTATATTCAAAAGATATTAAGTAGGTTTGGCTTTGATAAAGCATATCCACAACGTACACCAATGAATACTTCTCAAGTAGCTAATAATGAGAGAAAATTAAGAGAAACAGAATATGATAATGGGACTTTGGAAAGGACAGAAACAAAAGCAAACATTCCTTATAGAGAGGCTGTAGGTAGTCTTTTGTATTTGGCTGGTGCTACGAGACCAGACATTGCATATGCAGTCAATGTGATAAGCAGACATCAAGTAAATCCTAAAGAAAGTGATTGGGAAATGGTAAAAAGAATTTTTCGGTATCTGAGAGGTACTACGGGCTTGGGTCTGAGATATTCAGGCGAGACCAATGACATTCAGGGTTATTCTGATGCGAGTTTTTCTGATTGTAAAGATTCAATCACAACTTGTGGATTTGTGATTAGACTGTTTGGTGATTCGATCATTTGGCGAACGCACAAACAAACTACAGTAGCACTTCCTACGTGTGAAGCTGAGTATGTTGCAATGAGCGAGGCGAGTCGAGAAATGATGTCGTTGCACAACTCTTTGAAACTGATACTGGTTGATCCCCCTGTTCCAATGATCTTAAGGTGTGATAATAAATCTGCTATTGTGAGTGCAGAAACAAATGGAGGAATGAAATTGAGACAGATTGTAGAGAACAAATTACATTATGTAAAGGAATGTGTTAAAAAGAATTATATAAAAAGCATTTGGATTGGCTCAAGGGATCAGCTAGCTGATGTTTTCACCAAACCATTGACGTTTGAAACACACAAGCGTTCGATGGACCTAATAATGAAAGTAAATATTTAAATTATTTTCTTTCTGTTTGTCTAGGAAATAACTAATTTGGGGAGACCTTCTTGGAGAGATAAAATTGGCAAGACCTTTCTTGAAGAGATAAAATTGGCGAGATGAAAAAAAAAAAACTAATGAGATTAAACTGACGAAATTACCTGGCGAGAATACTGAGGCGAGATAAAGGTACCAAATAAGAAACTTTGTGATAAACGAGAACAGATTATTGGGAGAGAAAAAGACTGGAGAGGAATCAAGGATACTATCTATGGCGGGAGGGAGTGTTGAATGTGGCGCCCTACGCGAGTCTCCTTATTACCGATAGTGTGACTGACTGTGTCGCCACGGCGCCGTTGCGCCTCTATGAGATATACTCGCACTATGCATCACTTGTGCCTGGACCGTTGTCGCATTACGTTGCTAAATAAAGCTTAATTACTTTTACGATAATAAAACTGTGTTTAATCGTTATTTTAATCCTAAATAACCCTTCACTTTTCAATATACAAAATATATAAATGCTTGCGATATCACCTCCTCTACGATCCAGGAATATATCCATTTGATTCTGTCGAAAGTTACAGCGTAAATCCTGAGAAATTATTAAAAATATGTGAAGAAGTCAGTAATTTTCGTTAAAACAGCGCTCGCACTTGACAACGTTGAAGGTTAGGGAAATGCGGCGCCTTAACGGGCAATTCAAATATTCACAGCTACTCTCCGAAAACTCTCAGACAGTACGATTTGATTTTTTAAACTTTTATTTATAGAAAAAATCAAACATGCCGACCGTAATGGTTGGGTGAGTTAGGTATTGTTCCGGCGGACATCCGAGTGCAGCTGCGTTTGGCGCGGTTAGTACTTGGATCACTGATCTCTATATAACTGTGAGGCGAATTGAAGGCTCACCCATCGCCGTCTATTAGCGGCGGTGGTACTAAATCCGATACCAGTGCGCATGCGTCATCTAAATTATTGCTAGTGGGAATGGTAATTTTACCGTGCGTTCATAAGCAAAAATTCATTGTGGAGCTGAGTGACGTGTTTTCATTTGTCTTGTGATATTGTTTATTAACTTTCCAAGGAAAATAATTTCAAATTAAATTGTTGAAACATTGTATCTCATATGGGTTACAATGATTTGTGTTTATTGTAAGAAAGATAAAACACAACGGAAAAATCTATCGTTTCATGAGTAAGTATGTAGTATCGTATAGTCGATATTCACCCTTGGCGATTGAAGGATTCAATCAAATAACAAATGAAAAAATAGAAAAATAAATAGAATAGGAATAAAACCCCCTGATGAATACCATTTGAACGAGTTTTGTTTTTCATCCATTCATCATTTTTCATGAGCATAAACATGGTAAAATGTCAAGGGCATTTCTGCATCCTGATTGTCATATTACCAGCCCCCACTTCGTATATCATACCCACGCATGCGCATTGTTGTATATTTTAGTACCACCGCCGGTGATAGGGGCGCCGGGTGAGACCTCAATTTGCTTCAGAAGCGCTTTAGGGAACAAGCCATCCAGTTATATAGAGATCAGTGAAAAAATCCCTCCATGCGAGCCTTAATAGATTTTATGCAAGAGAAACTGACAAACTAAATAGAAAATTGCAAAATTTGTTGATTGATAAGTTCAGAGATAAATTCACAAGGAATGTGTTCGGTAATAATGGTATGCTAAGTAAGAAAAAAGTATTAGAGTTAATAGAGGAGAAGAAAAAGTTTAAGGAAAAATGGATTAAGAACTTGTCATCGGTAGAGTTGCCTCAGGAGGTATCTGAGATCAGAATCTTGTATGTTTGGGAACTGGGTTTGGAGTCAATGAAGATTTAGAAAAGTTTAGATTGTCTGAGTACATTTTTGAGATTGAAAAAGTTTCTGGGAATTTAGAAAAAGATGTAGGGAATAAGTTCAAAAGCACGTTAGTTGCTTGTTTAAAGTTCACATACGGAAGTTGGTAAAAAACCAAAGCAATACAAAATTACAAAAGTTAGAAAAATTTATGAAGAGTAATAAGGACGTTATTATAACTAGGGCAGATAAAGGTCAAGTAACGGTTTTGTTGGATGCAAAAGACTACTCCAAGTTTGGGGTTGCTTTACTGCAAGACATGAATACATATCTGGAGGCACGTTTACAGTACGCTCAGTTGACAGAGTGTAAATAATCAATTAGTTGCAAAATGGAAGCGTGATGGCTACATTGGCCAGCTCACTTTTGATACCTTAACGGTGAAGACTTCGGTGATACCGAAATTATATATTTTACCCAAGGTTCACAACCTCAGTTGGCTTTCAGGCCGATTGTTTCTTCAATCAACAGTCCATTGAATGAATTAGCTAAATATATTTCTCGTATTTTATCACTGTTGCAAGTAAAAATTTCGTCGCACTTGAAAAATAGTTATGATTTAATTGATAAATTAAAACACGTAATTATTCCAGACAATTATGTGCTGGTTTCATTTGATGTGGTAAGTTGATATACAAACGTACCGCTTGAATTGGTCACTGACGCAATAGTAAAATGGAAAGGTGAATTAAAATGCAGTCCTCCATATGAAGAAGTAATTAAAGCAAAAGATACGGCTATGAATAATATTTTCCTTTCTTTTGGTGGTAAAATTTACAAGCAAGTATTCAGGTTGCCAATGGGTTCTCCATTGGCACCTATTTGTGCCGATCTAGCAATGGGTCTGTTGGAAGAATCAGTTTTGGACAAGCTTCGCAGAGAATTTGACATTTCATTGTATTATCGTTATGTGGATGATATTGTTATGTGCATTCCACAGGATGAAATTCAGTACTCTTTGCAGGCATTTAATGATTATCATCTCAGGCTTAATTTCACTCATGAGATTGAAGTGGATAATTATTTGCTTTTTTTGGATGTCCTGCTTATCAAGGAGAGTAATAAACTCTGCTTCAATTGGTATAGAAAACCAACGTGGTGTGGAAGAATGTTAAATTTCAATTCCATACATCCTATTACACAGAAGCGAGCAATTGTGACCAACTAAAAGGACAGGATGCTTAGGCTTTCTGATAACAAATTTTGGGATGAGAATTTGGCCTGCATTAGGAAGGTTTTAATTTTCAATGATTATTCGGCACAATTTTTCAATGGTTTAATTAATGATAGGATTCAATTGATTTCTAGATCCAACACTAAAGACAAAAGTTGTGAGGCAATTAATTACAAGAAAATATTAATAGTTCCATTTACACCAGACTTAACAGGCAATCTTAAATGTTGTTGTGCAGATTATGATGTAAAGCTGATTTCATCTAGCAGCAGGAAAGTGGGTTTAACATTTGGATCCACGAAGGATGAAATACCAAAGGATCAGAGGTCTAGTGTAGTGTAAACTACCGTGCAATATTTGTGATAAAGCTTACATTGGCCAGAGAATCAGATATTTTGAGAGTAGATTAAAAGAGCACATGAGCAGTGAAAAAAATCCGGATCTTTATCGTTCGGGTTTATCGGATCATGTAAAAAGCCAAGAACATAAAGTTAATTTTGACAAGTCAAGTGTTTTAGATTCGGTTGAAGGGAAGGATAAATTGGACATTTTAGAAATGTATCATATCAAGAAACAGCGATAGCACTGTCAATTTCATTAATGATATTAGTAAATTGGGTAGCATATACGATCCGTTGATTAGGTTTGACGATAAATAAATGATGACTAATTTGTATTATTTTTTAAATGACACCGTGATTGGGGTTTTCATGAGTGAGCTCATAAATGAATTGTAAACCAGCCCTTAGTGGCACTAGTCCATATGTTTGGTCTGTTGTGTTGTGAGATCACAAGGGAATAGTTTTTCTAAATGTTGTAAATCAAGAAGAAGAATGGGGGGTTGTTATTATATTCCAAATAATGATGAGTTGCATTATGTGATTAGAAACTTGGATGTACGGCTTAAAATAGATGCAATATTTGACTGGTTGTGATTTGCAGGTTAGAATAGTGGTCAGATTCTATTGTGATTCTGCCATTTAAATGGGGTTTTGGAAATTTCTAGGAATAATTTAGTGTTTTGGTTGAGGTAGGTAATGTGAAAGCAACCTTGAGTTATTGAATACTTGCGATTTAGATTCTATGAATGAAAATAGGTAAATTTTCTCTGTATTGAGATATGGTAATAAGAATTTTTTATTAGATTTTTTATAGATAAATATTAATAAATCGCCCTGATGAGGAGTGGATATACTCCTCGAAACGTTGGCAAACAGTGAAGATTTGTGTTTTTAATTGAATTGTAGAGTAAAATCGCTGAAAACCGCAAAACGGCCTGGAGGAGTAGGAGGAATATTTGTAACGATCACTATCATTGGGACTATTTTCATCATTTACTGATTTTTTTATTGACTTCCTTTAGATGCTATTCTTGCTGTTTTTCTCCTAACTTTTGTAACTCTTCTGAGTCATGCGTGCACGTCTTTTCCTGACTATTTTTACTACTAAGGATTCCGTTTTGGCTCCATGCTTCCGGGCCCGGATAATAAATTAAGAACCCTTGGTTCAATTGAATGTGGAAAGGAAAAAACTCAGGTGTATCAGTGTCTCCTATAGACAGTACTGTGTCCTCTCGGGCAATGGCTTCCTGAGCTATAGGGGTCTCCTGATCCAAAGTAATTATTTTTCCCTTTTGATATCTGGGTGAAGCGAATCCCTTCTCCAAGTTTACGCGTTCAATTGAATTTAAGAAATTACTCACATCAAGATTCACTCCAGTTTGATTGACTATGTCATTTCGTTTACTGAAATGAAATTCTGAACTATTCTTGACTGTGTCATTTTGTTTACCAAAATGAAATTGTGAACTGTTTGGTGTTCGTTTACTTGTATTACTATCGATTGAGCACATCTGGAGGAAGTCAGGTAATTCTTTTTCAATTGTTAAAGTCTTGGTAAACTTGATACTAGCTACTGATAGACTTGATAATTCGACAGGATTTCGCAAACACGCGTCAGCGTTGGCATTCAGTCGTCCTGGTTTATAAATCACTTCATACTGATATTCTCGCAGTAATAACACCCAACGGAGTAATCGTGATGCGGGATCTTTCATTTTATGGGCCCATACTAGAGGTATATGATCTGTAACCAATTGAAATTTCGTTCCATAAAGATGAGGACGAAAATGTTTCACAGCGAACACTATTGCACACAACTCGTTTTCTATCACAGAATAATTGAGCTCAGCTCCTCTTAATAACTTTGAGGCATATAAGACAGGTAAATCTGAACCTATTTCACCCTGACTGAGTACAGCTCCGAGAGCATAATGTGAAGCATGTACAGTTACAATGAAAATTCTATTGAAATCAGGGAATTGAAGAATGAACTCTTTACATAAAAGGTATT